AGAGTGATAATTAGGCTACCAGATTCTGGAAATCAGTACCATGTAGAAGTGACCCAGAGAATCCCAGTTCTTGCATTTGCTGTCAGGAGCAACCTATTTGTGGTATTTGCCCAGAGTCCTTCCAGCACTACTCCTCCAATTGAGATCAGCTCCTCTCGCCTGACCAAGCTGACCCGCCGAACTACCGACAGGAAGAGTGAGTTCTTGAAGACTCTAAAGGATGACCGGAATGGAGACTTTTCAGAGAACAGAGACTGTGACAAGCTGGAGGACGTAAGAGCATAAGGCTTTTCTGGGGCAACACAGAGGTTTTCCTGTGTTGTGTATGTCCTTTTTTAAGTCTTCAATTGGTCAGTGCTGTAAAAAATTGGTAAATTATAGAAGCTTTCATCAGTTAGGATTACATTTAATTGCAGTATAAGAAAATCTGACAAATAGAACCATAAAACAGAGCGTTTTTTTTTTTTTTTGTATCCTACAACAGGAAGGTTAGAGGTTGCAGGCTAAGCAGGTAAACTCATTGGGATTATCAGGAAATTTAACAACTTTTGGTCACCTTGGACTAGGGTGGTTACTGACCTCTATACTTCCCATCCGTATTCTGGTTAGGGAAAGGACAGGGAGCCAAAAAACCTGAAAGGCGATAATGTCCCTTTTAAAAATGCTTTCTTAAAAGCCACACCCTGCAAATTCCAGGAGTACAACATTGGCCAACTATCAAATGGCAACTCCTAGCTGCAAGGGACTCTAGAAAGGTGAACTTTTTAAAGGCTGAGCACAGTAGCTTTTTAGTCCGAATTGTTAAGGCTAGAGCATTGATGCTGCATCAGCATCTAGTAGCGTCTCCCACCATTGACATAACCTCAAGTTAAGATCCTGACCGGTTGGTATACTTGAGAAATCTTAGTAAGGTGAACAAGTCCTCATTTTTAAATGGGGAAAACCTGTGGGCTGAAGTTGTTTTCTGGAGAGCACGTTTCCTTGGTTCTGACTCCTTAATCTCGTAGATTGTGTATCTTGCCACAAAGGGTCATCGAACCAAGTGTGTCCTTCCCTTCTTTCAGTTGGAGGACAACAGCACCCCTGAACCAAAGGAAAACGGAGAGGAGGGCTGTCATCAGAACGGCCTTAGTCTCCCTATAGAGGAGGAAGGGGAGGTCCTTTCACACTCCCTGGAAGCAGAGCACAGGTGAGTGCAGATCAGATCACAGGGCATGCTGTGTATGGCCTGTAAGGAGCTTGAACATCCTTAAGACACCCCAGATGGCGTCTGGTCTACAGACAGAAGTGTTCATGGGCCATAACTTGTTCTCTCTTTATGCCCCAGCTTGGCCTATTACCCACTGGGCATTCCTTTACAGATTTGCCAGCTTTTTCACAACTTTCCTCTGTAAGGCTTTCATGAGTTTACTTTCAGACTAGGTTTATAACTCCATTTGGAGAAGGGAACCTATTTTCTAGGACCGTTGTGCTGGCCCTTGGACCCTCCTAGCCCAAGTGAGCCTTTATAAGACCCCTTTAAAAGGCCTTGGGAGGCCATGCCTCCCCACGGATGGAGCTTGTTCTTTAAATGAGGGCCTTGAACATAGAGCAGCCAGCTGTTTGGGGCACCTGGATGGCAGATGGGGCCTGCCGTGTGTGGCAGTACCTTCCTAAAAGGAAGTTCCTGTCCTGAAGAACTTTAGAAGTCAGCAAGATCACAAGAGTATGAAGGAGACCACGGTGCCATGAAATTGAAGGAAAACTTAGGTACATGTGGAAATGTGCTGAATTGCTTATGAGAGACAAAAGTGAGATTTTTTTTTTCTTTTTTAAGATTTATTTCTTAGAGTGGGAGGAGGAGCAGAGGGAGAGGGAGAGAATCTCAGGCAGACTCCCCACTGAGCGTGGAGCCCCATCATGCGCACGACCCTGAGATCATGACCTGAGCCAAAATCAAGAGTCGGCCACCCAACCAACTAAGCCACCCAGGCACCCCAAAAGTGAGATTTTAGGGCTCCTGGGTGGCTCAGTCAGTTAAGCGTCTGCCTTCGGCTCAGGTCATCATCTCAGGGTCCTGGGATTGAGCCCCGCATCGGGCTCCCTGCTCCGCGGGAAGCCTGCTTCTCCCTCTCCCTCTGCCTGCAGCACCCCTTGCTTGTGCTTTCTCTCTGTCAAATGAATAAATAAAATTTTTTTTTTTTTTAAGTGAGATTCCTTCCTCTGTTTTGTCTGTCAGAGAGGGCCCTTACATTTTGGCTCTTATGCAGTCTTATTTTCTGCTGCTTCTGTCTCCTCTCTGTAGCTCTTATACTCTGGAAGGAGCAACTGTGGAGATCCCTCATTTAATTCAAACACCTAAGTAGCCATAATTAAAGCTTATCCCACTGGGGAGGGGCACCTGGGGGTCCTGGAATTGGGCCCGTGTCGGGCTCCATGCTCAGCAGGGTGTCTGCCTGAGGATTCTCTCCCTCCTCTCCTCCCGCTTACGTGTGCATGCATTATCTTTCTCTCTCAAATAAATAAATTTAATTTAAAAAAAAAAACTTATCCCACTGGGGAGAAAAGAAAAATCCCAAGTGGGGTACTGTTGCCCCTGGGCGAGTGAGTTTTCTCTGGAAAGTTGTGGGCTTCCCACTTATGCTTAAAGATGTCATATTTTCTTTGCCTGACCTCCCTCTACCAGGTTATTGAAAGCAATGGGATGGCAGGAATATCCTGAAAATGATGAGAATTGCCTCCCCCTCACAGAGGATGAGCTCAGAGAGTTCCACATGAAGACAGAGCAGGTATGTCATAAACCTTCCCTGGAGATCTGTTAATGACTAGGAGAGAAAGGAACAGGGCAGCCATTGCCGTTAGAGAGCCTCAGTTTCGTGTGAGAGAAGGGACCTTGGAAATGAAAATAAAAAGTAAGTTGCCATAGCAGAAATACAGAAGAGTGAATCAGTGCCTAGGCAACAGGGATCTCCAGTAGTGGATACAAAAACTGGGTCAGTAGTTAGCACATTCTAGAAAGTAGTATGTTCTTTCATCCTGGCAGCTCTACCCCCTTATCAGAACCACAAGGCTGTGTACCAGGGTTATGGGCTGAGCCCTGGGTCTCTAGGGAAGCAGGCTTATTCCCCCTGCCCACCGCCTCCAGCCCTGTGGTTTCTCTCTGGTATTCTGGCTGGAGCCAAGAAACTACCTCTGAATTTATCCAACAAATAGTTCGATGCTTCCTCTGAGTGAAACACTGCCAGATCCTGAGATTTATAGCAATGAACAAGGTAAATGGAGTCTACAGACTTCATGGAGCTTATATTCTGGTGGTATTTATATTTACATTTTACTTAACACTTATTTTTATTTATGGTATTTATATTTAAAGCACAAATAACAATCGTATTAAGTCCTATAAAGAGAAATTACAGCTGACATAAAGACTGCTACGCAGAACTATTCTCTCAATCGTTGTCATCACCTGAGAACTTGTAGAAATAGAGAATCTGAAACCCTGCCTACTGAATCAGAATCTGCATTTTTAAAAAAGATCCGTAGATGATTGATTTGCACATTAAAGTTTAAAAAGCACAGCTATAAGAAATCTTGGATCTCTTAGAAGGGCCCCCTCTACATTCTGCCTAGAATTGAATACCTGCCTTTTCCAGGTCCCACTGCCAGTGTAGTCTTTGATGGTTTTCTTTTTTCTCTTCCTGCTAACCATAGCTGAGAAGAAATGGCTTTGGGAAGAACGGCTTTTTGCAGAGCCGCGGTTCCAGCCTGTTCTCCCCTTGGAGAAGCACTTGTAAAGCGGAGTTTGAGGACTCAGACACGGAAACCAGTAGCAGTGAAACATCAGATGACGATGCCTGGAAGTAGGCGTATAAATGCTCACAGATCTGACCCAGTAAACTCAGCTTGTGTGTTTAGGGAGTCTACAAAAGAAATTGTTCTTTTCCTTTTCTTCTGTTGAATCCGTCATGCACAAGGGAAAATAATCATATCCCAAAGAGAGAGCAGTTGGCTTGTTTAGCTTTTGTTGTTGTTCCTCCCTGTTATCTGCTTAATAGAGAGAAGTTTGTGTGATGGGAAAGATTTTTTAAATACACACACACACAGACACAGTATCTAGGGGGCGACACACGGGTGGGAGCTGCCCGTGCAGAGAGGGGAGGCTGCTCAGCAGCACAGCTTCTGCTGCCAGCCCTTGGGGCGCTCACCCCCGTGCTCAAGCAATCATTGTCAATGACAAAGTGACTATTGAAGTTATAATTGTATTAAATTAATGCTAATAATTTGGATATTTTATTTTATTTTTGGCTGCTCGGGTAACGTTAGCCCATAACCAAGCATACATGGTTTTCTTTTTTTTCTTTTTTTTTTTCCTTTTTTGGGTACAGCTGTAAAATATTTGGATATAGGAAATGTGTTATTCTTGCAGCCTTGATATTCAGGGTGGATTGTAAAATATAAATTTTTGTGAGATTTCAAAGATTAAGATTATTTTGATAACATTATTTACAGATTTAAAAGATGTGGTTATCACAAGTCTGTTGAGGGGGAAAACTACTGCATAAAATAACTAACTTGGAATAAATATTTTGCATCAGTTTCGATCGTCTTGTGTAAGAAGTATATTTCCTTTAAAACTAGATGAGTGGATTCTTTGAGGGAAATACTTTTAGAAGTCTTAGGGAAATCTGAATTAGACACAGCTGTTGTTTCTCCTTTTAGCAGATACTTTTTTGATGCAGAAAAACTTGTGCAATAAATTATCAGTAATAAAATCAGAAACCCAAGTTTCCTTCCTGAAACTGATTTTCACTTGCCTGAGTATTTACCAGTGTGCATGTTTTAAGGAAGGTTCTGTGCCTCAGTTTTCCTGCTAAACAGGAACATGGGAAAGGGTTTGAGCCCGTGCTGTGACCCATGGAGGTTGACCAGTGGTGACCAGTGGAGGAGGCACACTTTTTCATTCAGCATACACTTCCCCAGCTCTCCCTGTACAGCCAGGCATTTTGCAAGGCTCTGGGGGTGTAGGGAATGTCCAGCCCAGTAGGGAGGAGAATAAACAATTATATTAAAAATGAAGCCTTTTGGGCCAAAATCTGATGGACAAGTAGAAGTTAAAGTAAGCACACACTGACACTCTTTGGCCATCCCTACAGTAAGTACACGGTTCCTGGTGGACATAGAGGTCCAGGATCATTAATGGGAGACAACCAACAGGGTAACAGCCCTGACTGCATGTTAGAAAACCAACTTGTAGTGTCTCCAAAAGGGATAGAGGCTAGAGGCAGAGAGAGCAGCATGACATTTGCTAGATTCTGTAAGGCTAGGAAGGCAGAGACCCTATCTGCCACACTCTATATTACATAGTCTCTCCTGCTGGTGTTATAAGCAGTCCATGCAGAAATGGTGGTTGGGATAGAGCAGTAAGAACTATCATATTTCATTGAATATATCTTTTAAAACATTATGTACTAATAAGAAAACTTGCCGGGTGCCTGGGTGGCGCAGTTCATTAAGCTTTTGACTCTTGAATTTCTGCTCAGGTCGTGATCTCAGGGTTGTGGGATCGAGCCCCAGTTGGGCTCCTTGCTCAGCAGGGAGTCTGCTGCTCTCTCTCTCTTCCCTCTCCCTCTGCCCCTACCCCCGCTTGTGTTCTCTCTTTCTCTAATAAATAAATTAAAAGAAAACTTGCCAGGTATGATACTCCATTAATTGTCGGTCCTGATTTGTGTTAAAATATGGGGAAAAAAAAGTGCATCTTAGAATACGTGAAATACTATAAAGTGAATTAAGTTGCAAAAGTATTAAATGGAAGTGAGAAGTCGGTTGAGATAGAGATATCCTGCCTGTGGGGTGTTGAGCTTTGCCACTTACTAGCTTTTACAGATTTCTAGAAATGTGCCCTTTTTCTTGCTTGGAATTAAGCTGGCTGAGATCACATGCTTTGAAACACTTATAACCTGTTGTTGGTCACACCTTGGCCTTACATGGTGAGGGGGTTGCTACCGTAAGTCCCGGTCTTGTTTAGAAAAGGGAGTTTGTTGAGAAACGTGGGCTAACTCAGAGCTCCTGATGGATACATATATTTGGGGAGGTGGCAGAGATCTGATCGGCACAAAAGTCTCCTGGTCAGACTTGAATGAAGGGGTACCTTTCTATATTTGATTCCCTCATCTGATAGATTCATTGTGTTCTCCCAGAACTTTCATTCCTTGGGCTGTGCTAATTATCTTCCCTCTCTAGCCAAACAAAACACCCCCCCCCCAAAAAAAAACAGGAAATCGGAAAAACGGCTAGCCTTGGTGTGACTTGGTAATACAAAAGCTGTGTGGTTGCTTCCCCAGGGGCAGAGTGCAAGGGAAAGCTTTTCAGCCTAGGGGAAAGAAGATTCCTGGCAGAAAGCCCAAAAGGGCAGACCGCTTCCTCTCCCAGGTGTTCCCTAGAACGGAGAATGACACTACCTTGGGTAACTTGGGCAAAACAAGAATGAACAAGATGATACTTCCCTGCCAGAGACTGTTCAATGACCAGTGATGGGGAGTATGCGATAGGGGCCCAGCTAGTCTAGGAGGCAGCTGTTTGTCCCCCTTTACATAGGCAGAGAAACCAAGATGTAGTGTGAAAAGGGACTTGCCCACGCTCATGGACTGACGTGGAGCAGACGTTATGACGCTTTTTCAAGCCAGGGGCTCCTCCCAAAAGTGACCAGCCTTTCCCCACCCATGCTCCAGGCCTGCCTAGACCTGCCTACACCTGTAGTTGCTGCCCAGGGAGCTAAGTCTCCTCCCCAAACATAATCTTGTAAACTCAGTAAACCTGGCCTTTCCTCTCTGCCTCTGGCTTTGTTTCATCCTCCTCTCCCTTTCCCTTGCTCTCTGTCCTGTCTCTTGCAGGTCTTGGCTGGCATGTCAGGAAAGGGGTCCCCTCCCATGGCCTCCTACTCTGGAGAGCCAGGGCTCCTGTCCTGTGGGTCCTGTGACATGGTTTTCCGCTCCTGGCCGCTGTTGGCCACCCACACTCAGCGCTTCTGCATTGGCCGTCTGACCCGAGAGGTAACACCTGGAGCCCACCTCTCAAAAGGGCCGTCTCTGTGGCCACATGGGTGGGTATTTAAGCAACTCTGACCCTCAGGATATTTCATCCCCACACCCTGTCGCCAGGTGGTGCCACAAGAACACCAGGGCCTCCCAGACCAGGAGGCCAGCAAATTGGCTCTTACGAAGCTAACAGAAGAGGTACCCCGGGCTTTCCCCACCGGCTCTCGAAATTTAGCAACCTCCCTAGGCCTCCAGGTCACGCGGATCATGGGTCACAGAGATCACGGAGTCCGCTATCTCCAGGTGCAGCGGCTGCGGCTGTACCTACAGGAAATGCGACCCTGGATAACAAAGGTCTCCAGAGGATTAGAAGGGCCCCGGAGCCAAACTGAGGTGCAGACTCAGGGCCCCACCCCCGAAGTTGCTGGAAGCCCTGGCGAGCGGCTGCGGGCGCTGCAGGGGACTCACGCAAAGCGGGTGGCGGAGACGGAGTCACAGAGCCGGGCCCTGGAGCGACGCAGCGAGGGTGAGGGAAAAGGACCGGGGGGGGGGGGGGCGGTTACGGGCCCTCCCCGCCCCTCTCCCCTTGGCTTTGAGTTTGTCGGACTCATTGCGACTCGGTCCCTTAACGCCTCAGAACTGAGCCAACGCCTCCAAGGTTTGGCCCAGACCCGGGGCGGAATATCCCGCCTTTCCGGTCTGGAGCGGGAGCTTCGAGAACTCCGGGCAGAAGCCGGGCGAACGCGGGGAGCTCTAGAAGTGCTAGGGACGCACGTTCAGCAGCTACAGCCGGAGACCTGGTGAGACCCGAGGGATTCGGAGCGCGGCAGAGCGGGGCCGAGGGCGGGGCCCGGTCTGGGGGCGGGGCCGCGGCGGGAGCCTCCGGAGGGCGGGGCCCGGGAGGCGAAGGCGCCCACGCAGCTGGAAGGCCGCACGTGTTCGGTCGGGAAGGGGCGGGGCTTCCGGAGGCCGGGCCTCTGGATCCGCAACATCTCCGCGCGGCTGGTCCCCGGCCCCAGGACCCGGCTCAACGCCTTGCGAGAGGCGGAACTCTGTTGTCCGGTGCTACAGGCCAACCCAGGGACTCTGGCTGCCGAGATCGGGTGAGGTCCGGGGCCCGGGGCGGCATGGGCGAAGCGCTGATCAGTCCTGAAAAGACGCTGCTGTCTTCTTGTGCCCTGCTCCCTCCCTAGGGCCCTGCGTGAGGCCTACGTTCGAGGCGGGGGCCGGAACCCCGGCGTTCTGGGCCAGATATGTCAGTTGCAGGTGGAGGCATCAGCGCTGGAGCTGCGGAGGCTGCGGACCCACAGAGGTGAACAGGACAGTCTCTCGGAGGCGGTGGTCTTAATTCTGGGAGGAGAAAAGGGCGGTTGAGGGGGGCGTCTTTGGCAGTGGGGACCACCTGAAGGTGGGAAATCTGGGTGGTCTTTGTGGCAATGGCTAGAATGTTACAAGTCCAGCCTTGTCCAGAGAGACCTAAAGCTGGAGAGCTGCTCAGGATTGCACCAGCTGGTTACCAGAGGCCAGAGGTGACGGGTCGGACTTTTTCATCGCAGGAAGACGGGCAGGTGTCGCACTGGGGGAGCTTCTAGCGGTGGAAGCCGAAAACCGGCGCCTGGAGGCAGAAATCCTGGCCTTGCAGAGGGGCGCAGGCCCTGCGTCCTGGGGTCAGCGAGCACCCTCGTTCCACACCACTTAGCTCTCCCCAGCAGGCTGAGCTCAAGGAAGGGGTTAGAGGGACCGTGCGTGGGGAATGAGGCGCGTGTTTGTGGCCCTGTCCGTTCCTGCCCTCGCGCATCTCCAGGTGTCCGTGCGTGTGGGTTCGGCTCTCCGGGAAAGGGTATCTTGGCCCTGTTACTTGCTGCGTCCTGCTCAGAGATGCCCTACTCTTAACTCTGCTCTCAGGGCCTAGCGAGCCTCGACCCGTGGTGAAACCCCCCCGATGCCTGGGGAGGAGGGAAGATCCCCCGCGCCTCCCGCCGCCTGTGGCTCCCCCGCTGCCGCCGCATCCGCAATCCACAGGCATCCTATTGAGTGGCACAGAAAAGGCCGTGAGGACCCAGGGGTTGGGGTCAGGGCAGCTCTGTTTTGTGTAGTTGGGGAAGCATGGGCACCGAGGAGGCTCTCGGCAGGAGTCCACTCTTCCCCCACCCACAGCTGCAGGTTCCTGGCACCCTGACCAGGAACCCTGGCCTGGATCCATACTTCCTCCTGCCGGCTCCTGACGTTCTGGGCCCTGCACCCTATGACCCTGGGTGAGGCCTGCTCCCCCTGTGACTTGGTCATCCCTTCTGATTAAAGAGAGACCCACTAGGAAGAGCTAGGGTTGGGGAACAGACAGGGTGAGGGGAAGGGATGGAGGGGGTGGACTGTATAGGTGCCAGCTGAGACCTGTGTTCTTCAGGGCTGGTCTGGTCATTTTCTATGACTTTCTTCGGGGCCTTGAGGCTTCTTGGCTTTGGGTGCAACTCATGACTGGCCTGACACGAGATGGACAGGACACAGGAGGGGCCACAGCATTGCCCCCAGCCCTTTGCTTGCCCTCACCTCCAGCTCCTGGGCCCATGGGCAACTGTGCCATCCTTGCCAGCAGACAGCCCGTACCCAGGTCAGTAGGTGGAGATTGACTTGGATGCCTTTTGTCACAATTGAGGCTTTTCCCTCATTCTGCTGAGTTTTCCCATCTGTATACGGGGCCACTGGCTCTCAGAGCTGTCCAGGGAAAGAACAGTTCTGGCTTCTGACATTGTTTCGGTTGTTCTAGGCTGCCACCTTCACCATCGGTAGCCCTGGTCTGTGAGCTACAGGCCTGGCAGGGGCTGGCATGGGCTAGGGAACCACAGCCGAAGGCTTGGGCCTCACTGGTGCTATTTGACCGGGATCAAAGGGTGCGAAGTGGCCGTTGGCGTCTTCCACTTCGGGCCCTTCCTCTGGACCCCAGCCTTACCCTTAGACAGCTGAATGGGATTCCCCAGGTGAGTGTGGACAGGGCCTGGATCTCCTCCCCTCCAGGTACAGATGCAGTACCATTTCCTCTCTCTCCAGGTAGGTGAGGTTGAGCTCTTTCTGCGACTGGTTAACGCAAGAGATGAAGGTGTCCAGACACTGGCCGAGATCAACCCAGCAAGTGCCCAGGAGTACCAGTACCCACCTCCGGTGAGGGACCACCTAAAGCTAGGGATACTGCAGGTGTGATTGGTGTGGTTAATTGCCAGCATTTGTTGACCCCCGTGTTCCAAGTCCTTTCTGTGAATTAACTCCTTTATCATACGTCGTTACTAGGTAGATTATGTAAACAGATAAGGAAATCAGAGCTGCACAGTAACGTTAACTTGGTTTACATTAGGTAGTCAAGATATAAACCTCTTGCTAAAGATACACTTCTGTTCCACAGATGTCCAGCTCACCTTCACTGGAAGCAAGCTCCCTGGCCCCAAAAGCTGGCTTTGTTGACCCTCCTCCTCCTGCAGAAGAGCCCCCTCAGCAGCAGAGTCAAGGATAGATGGTTTGGGCCCTCATCACAGCTTTGACCCACACCCTCTGGCTTTTGGAGTCCAGGAGAATGTGGGCATGAGTAGCTTAACAGGCTCAGAACTAGTACTTAGATGAGGCTTGTTGCCAGACCTGCAGCTCTACTACTACACGTTCTCAGAGGGTCTAGAAGCAAATAGCAGATACAAGCTCAAAATAGGAGGTCCAACCACAGCTTTACCACCTTCCACAAACACTTGGCCTTTATCAGTTTTCCTCTTGTAAAACGGATGTGAGGATTAAATGGATGTCAGGTATTTTCAGTATTGCCTGGAATATAAATTCTTTGAAAGATAAGCAGGGGGCACTCTAATTTGTTAAAGGAACTTCATAAACTTTTTTTTTTTTTTTTGCGCTAAAGCCCATCTTGTTGCCACACTTCGTTCAGGACATCTCCGGGAAGCCTTCCTGGCTATAAAGATCCCCATGAACTAGGAGCTCCCATACCTTACACACTTAGAGGGGGTCACATGTAAATCTGGCTGAAATTTGATATTGGGCCTAGCCCCAGAACCCAGTGCCAACCAAAGGTCAAAGGCCTAAAATCCTCAGGACTTGGAACATGCAATACAAGGGCATCTTCAAGAAGTTCAAAGCCAAAAGATTCTACAGCCATGAGTTACCATAACCAGCCCAGAAAAATTCCATTTTCTCTTCTATTTATTTAGGAAATAAAATATAAACTGGAAAACTGCTTGACATTCAGTATTCAAATGGCAGGTTCTGACCTACTGTCTATCTAGTGCAGCAAAGTAACCCTATGGGTGGTCAGAATTACTAACTCCCTTTAGGTAATGTAGGGCAGGCATGGTTTGGAATTCAGATCGAAATAGTAACTGGTGTTTAACAGGTTCTTAAACTAAGGGTCAGGGCTGAGGCAGCTCAGGCAGGAAGGGTCTCCTACTAGCCTTGCACCCTGGACATCAGTGAGGTCCCAGTGGGATGGCTTTAGTGTCAGTATCCTGAGCACCCTTTGACTGGGCTGGTGGGCCAGTTTCTACCTTTCAACCCCACATCCACACTGAAATGCTTCAGGTAGTTCGGGATCCCACTGGAAGATTTTATTTTATTTATTTGAGAGAGAGAGAGAACATGAGAGGGGAGAGAGGGTCAGGGAGAAGCAGACTCCCCACCAAGCAGGGAGCCCGATGTGGGACTCGATCCTGGGACTCCAGGATCATGACCTGAGCTGAAGGCAGTCACTTAACCAACTGAGCCACCCAGGCACCCTGGAAGATCTTTAAACACAAGTCCAGACCAGGAGCATTTTTTAGCATCTTTATTTGACAAGTCAAAACTGCAGATGGGTAACAATTTGGATTCAAGTTATAAGATATATTCCAGCCTTTCTGTACAGAAAACAAAACTCCACCACCCAGCCTCCCCACAAATTCCTCCAACCACATCCCAAGTGTCCAGTCTATCTCTCAAGCCACTTTCAAACCAGAAAGCTCAATTCTCTACAGTTAGCAAACCAGTTTTCCTCAAGGATCACTTCCCCTCACCCCCCCCCCAAGTTTTCTTCAGTTCTTTTTCGAGGACAGAATTATTGACCCCTAACTGGAGACTAGGTGGGTAACAGTTATCAGCTCACAAAGTCCACCAAACAGTATCAGCACCAAAGAGCAAGATCTTCACCAAGTCTTGTTTTTGTAGCCCCCATCAAGGGGACAGCACCACTGAAGGTTTGTATTTAAAATGGAAAAAATATAGCACCATTAGAAAACAAAGGGCCTGGCTATGCTTGATTTGATCGCCTCCACATTAGACAGACAGGAACTTGGATGGGAACTTCCAACAGAGATCAGTACAGAAAGGGGCAGGGGGAGTGAGTACCTTTGACAACTGTATCATACCCAGAGTGCTCCAAGGCACAGAGTCAGCCAGTATTTAAGGAAAAAAAAATCATCAAAGCCTCAACCTTTGCTTACAATCTTTATTGAAGTTATACAAAAAGAAGCCCCCCAAAGTGAAAAAATACATTATATACAAAAACACTTTCCCTCAGGAGGAAGGCTCTGCGCCCTCTCTTAACATGCAGTGCTTTCAACTGTGGCTCCGGCCTCCACTGTCCCCTCCACTGCTGCCCGGCTTTCAGCCTGATTCTCAGCCTGGAAGATAAATAGGGAGCCTGGGCATAAATGACCCTAGTTTAAGCCGTTCTGTCTTACACAACTGAGTAGGCATTAGAGAAAGTGAACAGGTCTCCTAAAGCCTGCTTTGCTCCCTACACTACTAACAGGACAATTAGTAAGGCCATTTCCTAAAGTCTCTCCAATAGGGCTGACGGAGCCAATGTTCATACGGTACTTGGAAAGGGAGCAAGCAGAAATAACTCAATGGTCTTGCCAATTAAGTGCCTTCTCCTCCTACATTCATTAGAGTGGGACTTGTGCTGTGTATATAGTTTCCATTTGTCAATGAGACATACATTCCATAACCAGATTCCTGCACACTGTTTCTATGAGGGTTGCATTCAAGTAATCCAAACAGGCTCAAGGTGAGGAACATGCACTTAGGAGGACTAGTTTCCCCAGGCCCTGAGAACAAGGGGAAATAAGGCAAGAGTCCAAGCCCTCTTAACTGCCCACCTCCTCCTCCATGTTTTCTGAAACTTCATTTCCACTGGAGACGGCATCCCCACTGCCTCCATTCACCTCTAGCTCTTGTTTCGCTTTCTTTGCATCATCTTTTCGGGGACTCTCTTCCTCTGGTTTCCTCTGAAGATAGAATTGGGAACGCTTCACAAATGTGCTGAATGTTTTTAAAAGTACTGCAAAACTTTTTAAAAACCCCTTCAGTCCTCTCCTCCCCCACTGCCGCCACCCCATGGTCCAGAGATCCTGAACACCGTGATCCACGGGTCTCAGGGTCTCTCGCATGGCCACAGGAAGCAGATGCCAACCTGTGCTCGGTACAATCAATTGGTCAGCTACAACATACCAATCCAGCCTCTCTAGAGGAAGGGTGGGGTGAGGGTGAGGAGTAGATCTGAATAGTAACCAAACCCCAAGTTTATGAATTAGGACACAAAGGAATCAGTCTCCCACAAGAGGAAAAAACGACTGTAATTATAGGCAGAAGATGGACTCCTAGGAGTATCGGCAGGTCTGCTGCTGAATGACTACTGTCAAAGAAAACCCGCCAGCTGAGCCGATTCTTCTCAGCTGCTTTCCTTATAGTCCTGGGCCAGAAGAGGCCTGGAAAACTGTTAGAAGACATAGTCAAGTGAAAACTACCTTCATTCAAATCCTCACCAACTCTGCAAAATGAATGTCTTATTACACCAAATATTAAGGAATGTATTCCTGGTGTATCATTTGAAGCAAAAAAGAAGAAAACGCAAACTGGAAAGAAAACAGAAAAGAAATGACCACATGTAGATTTACCTTCTTTCTGACAAGGTGGGAGATATCACTCACACAATTTGATGAGGAAGCACCATCCGTTGATTTTCTACTGGCAACCTGACAAAAAGGACTTTGTTAGCAATGTACAACTAGACAGGACACAGAAAAGCCTAGTGACAAAAATCACCTGAATACTCACCATGGAGATTGAAGTGCCTCCTCCACTAGGAGTGAAACCTGAAGTAGAGCTCTCCACCTGTGCGAGAGGTGACAGACCCAAGTGGGTCCCAGGATAGAACCCACCAGGTCACCCACACACCTACAACAGGTACCTACCATCCAAACAACTGTTTAAGACCTCAAATACTAGTGGGCTTCCATATACTAGCAGTATCATTCCACCCCCCTCTACCTGCAATTGCCACCCCCAAACCAGCTTAGGCACAGGGTAAATACTAAATTAACCCATCCACCTCATCACCTGGGGCGCTATCTATACAGAGGAGTTCTCAGAGGTGGAAGGAATAGCTTACATTTATTAAGCAAATACTATTTGTACTGTCAGAAGTATTTTAACATAGATACTATTACCCCCATTTTACAGATGAGTCAACTAAGGCAAAGAAATGTTAAGTAACGTGTCCATGGTCACACATAGTGAGTAGCAGATATATAACCTAAACCCAGTCTGGCTCCAGAGCATATTCTCTTAAGCATTATACTACTTAACAGGACTAACTAGATAAATTCACACATTCCTTCTGACCACCAACTCCCTGGAAACCGTATCACGGTTCCTAGGCAGACAGAACACTAATACCATGATGTCTTCCAACAGTATCAACCATGCCATTATCAAAACTTTAAAAGGAAACCAAACCAACCAGAGTTGCTTTCAGAGCCAATTCAGCTACATTCCCACTACGCTGGGACTCCTTTGCATCTTCTATCTTCTCTCTAATTTCAGGTAGCAGTTCCTTCAGCTCCTCAATTTCTTTCTCATATTCAGTAGATGATCCTTCAGCCTCCTTCATCTGTTCACTTAGTACAGCTACAAAGAACAGGCTGAAGTGATCAGTAATAGTTACCACCAAAGGATCCTTTTTTTTTTTCATATTGTCGATTACCAGATCCAGTCAAGCTTATCGTCAAATAGCTGATGCTCACTCACCCATTCTGTTCTCAATGACTTCAATAGATTTGCTGAACTGTGCCACTGCCTCATCATACTGAGAGTTATACCCATAGGCCAAGCCCAGCTGGTAGTGGGTCTCTGCAAGGAGACGATCATGGGCTTCTAGGTACTGCTCCTGCAGGTTTAGGCAAGCCTGGAACTCCTCCACAGCTTGGACATAATTCTCTAATGAAAAGAGAAAGAATAGCAAGCAAATGGACAGCATTTAATATATAATACTTCCAAATTGTGGATCATTCTACAGGAATGCTCTCCTGTTTTAAATGACATTTCTTTGTAGCATCTCCAGGACACTAGACTATAAAAAAAATATCTAACTGGGGAGGGGGGAAAAAAAAAACCCTACTGAAGAGACTTCAGAAGAGATGGTTCACTATTCTAGGAACTAGAGGAACCCAAACCAACTGTCTTTTTAAAGCCAATTGCCAGGAGTGCCTAGGTGGCTCAGTCAGTTAAGTGTCTGCCTTCCACCCAGGTCATGATCTCAGGGTCCTGGTATGGAGCCCCACATCAGACTGCTTGCTCGGCAGAGAGCCTTTGTCTCCCTCTCCCTCTGCCCCTCCCCCTACTTGTGCTTTCTCTAAGAAATAAAATCTTAAAAAAAAAGCCAATTGCCCATAACCTATGATCAATCAAGCTGAATTTTAAGGAATTAGAGAAAGAACTGGGGGGGTGGGGGGCACATTAAAGAGTAAAATGGAAAATGTATTACCAGATTCAACACTAACTTCTCCAAGTTTAAGATGGGCCTGTGCAGCATAAAGCTGAGCTTCTTTTGTTTCTTGCCTGAAAGAAGGAAAAGATGATCAGAAACCTTAACAGCATTTGTCCAAACCTGATATTCTACTTCCAAGTTCCAAACTCCCAACCTAAGCCTAGAAACACTGAAAAGTATTACCTTTTAAAAATGATCTTTGCTAAATCCAGCATATCCCAAGCAAGCTCTAGATTCCCGATCTCCTCCTCTTCATTTTCTTGAAGAGACTAAAAAGTATATCCAAATCATTGGTATTAGGCAGAAGTATAAGACAGGAATCTTCAGATCACAAATCTAAATGTGTAATACAGCTTAAAAAATAAAAAAACACATGATTCAAAATTTGGACTTTCTCCCTAAAACCTACAGAATGGGTCCCTATAATCCTTCTATCCAAAGTCATCACCTTATGTCAGTGATATCTAACAGTGACGTGTTGGGTCCCATCAGAACATCCTCGGATTAAATGGATCTGTGTATTCCAGGCATGAACAAAGAGTCCCCAATCCCTACCAAGAAATGACTATGATAATCACACCTACTCTAGTTAAGCTACAGTCCTACAATAAGATGATACAATAATAATTTACCTTGTTTTCAAGAAGTGATTCATTTGGTGTTTCTCCAGCCTTGTCATTTTCTTTATCCTCCTCTTCTGAGCCTTCAGTTTCTGCAAGCAAAAATTCCTCAGTATTGAGAATACTAAGGATATCTTCCTTCTAAGTAGTCAGAGATTCCAATAAATGCCTGTCAACCTATATTCTGAGTAGAACAGGCCAGATGCTAAGTCAGTTAATATTTGAACTTCATATAAAGCCAGTGATTACAGTCTAATTCAAGTGTAGCCTAGACTTAGATTGTATAATCTTACAGTGTGTGGTTTACACCTTCAGTGATCAGAAGGCTGAACGTTTCTCTTCTAAAAGTCAGTCTGGATCATTCAGATCAAGACAGATTAACTACTGTAGTCTCTTATCCTAGAAACTCCCATATACTTAGCCAGAAGCAGTTGAAGAACTCAGCCAGTGTTCCTGGTGTCTTTAAGCAGCCATTTGTTATATAACACTAACATGCTGAGGAAGTACAAAAAGTTAAATTACCCCAGTCCATTCAGAGCAAGAATGCTCAAGAGACTAGCTTTCCCACAACACAGCTGTGGAGAGAAAAGCATAGTCCTTACCAACTCTCACCAATGAGCATGCCACAGACTCCAGCCAGCTCTAGCATGTACAGAATTGAGTAAGCAGTACCACAACCAATTGTTTTACTCCAGTATAATGTTAAAATTTGCAGCCATATTGACACTCTATTTCACCATACTGACATATATTCACAAGTCAACTGCCTTTAAGGACAGGCTGCTAATAAATAGCTCTACGCACCACTTAAAGTTCAGAATGCCATAGGATTAAACATGGGCTTTTGGGGGCACGTAACAATTCATGAATTGGGTATAATGTGCCTACCTCTGCCACCTTTCATTAAACATTTTTAACGCAAGCAAAAGAGCTCAAATACCGTCTCTTAACAAGCTATTATGGGAACATAAATATGCAATTAGGCCTTAGAGCCATGAAGTCAGGCTAAAGGACTTTTATCTTTAGCAATACTGCTTAAGAATGGGAATAGGCACAGAAAATTCCTGAACATTATAAATTAGTAAAACAAAGTCCTGTAAGAAGGACACCTGGCTGGCTCGGATAGTGGAGCATGCAACTCTTGATCTCAGTGTTGCGAGCTTGAGCCCCATGCTGAGTATAGCGATTACTTAAAAATAAAATTAAAAAAAAAAAAAATTCCTCTAAGAACCAGTTACAAGTTAATTGACCTCTATAGCAAACAGTTTTTATCAAATGAATCACTTTTCCCCTGTTGACCATATAATTTAGTGCTTCTGAAATAAATACCCACCATCATACACCATTATCTTTCTGTACCCGAATTTCCAAGTTATCTGTACACTTAGTACTCTGTCAGACTAGATGGGTGGTTTTATTAATTCTGACAATGAGGCCCATTCTCAAGACAGATGAGGTAAATCTATGAAAACAAACATTTTACCTTCCTAATTTGTAGGAAAAATTGACAAAATGTGTATTGTTAGTCTGTATTCTTAAATAATCTGGTATCTGTTCCTACTCATACCAGAATGCCAGGTGACATCTAATTAGATTAAAATCTTACTGAGTTTTACATCAAATTTTTAAAATAAAATTCTTATGATAATCTGAGAAAAATACTTGTTTCCCTTGAGAAATCTGTACTACCTTCATGGAATGGTGAAAAGAAAGTTATGTTAATGAGAAAGCCATTACTTTAAAACAACACTTTCCAACCTGGTAACCTATACCCAGGTATTAATGGGAATGCCCTGATGTCCTCAGTGAAGTGATCTGTTAAAATGGAATCTTCTTTGTAGCATGCCTATTACCATCCTTTGGAAAAATGGATACACAGCTTTATACCATTTCTCTGATTTGTAGCCTGTTCAAAAGTTAAGGGCACAGAACAGCGCAAAGAAGAAAAATTCCTCTTAGAGACAAAGTAAAGACAATCTGCTGATTCTCTGGTTATTCTAGCCCTTCCAGGGGATTAAGTCAGGTAAACACTACAGATTGGCCAGTACAGTATGGCCAAGCTCTGTGCCCACAATTTAAAAACTCTGTTCACTTACCAATCATATCTAGCATAACACTTATAAAACAACAGACCAATTATCTTTATTAGGGATATGGACAGCCTGAGAGGCGGTAAGAAATGGGATTTTAAGAGAAAACCTCTGGGGTGCCTGGCTGGCTCAGTCAGTAGAGCATGTGACTCTTGTTCTGAGGGTTATGGGTTTGAGCCCCACATTGGGTATAGAGATTACTTAAAAATAAAATTACAAAAAAAAAAAAAAAAAGATTTGAGAGAGAAAACCACTTATAAGATTTTTGCAGGCTAGTGCTGCCACATAAAGTGGAACAGAGCACAGAGAATACAAGTTTAGGCCTTAGGGGCGCCTGGGTGGCTCAGTCGTTAAGCATCTGCCTTCGGCTCAAGTCATGGTCTCAGGGTCCTGGGATCAAGCCCCTCATCGGGCTCCCTGCTCTGCGGGGAGCCTGCTTCTCCCTCTCCCACTCCCCCTGCTTGTGTTCCCTCTCTCGCTGTGTCTCTGTCAAATAAATAAATAAAATCTATTTTAAAAAAATTTTTATTTATTTGACAGAAAGATAGCGAGAGTAGGAATATAAGCAGGGGGAGCGGGAGAGGGAGAAGCAGGCTTCCTACCGAGCAGGGAGCCCAATGTAGGACTCGATCCCAGGACCCTGGGATCATGACCTGAGCCGAAGGCAGACGCTTAACGACTAAGCCACACAGGCTCCCCTAAATAAAATTAAAAAAAAAAAAAAAAAAAAAAAAGTTTAGGCCTTGGAGCCAGAAGGTTTGGGTACCTCAGCCCTCCCCATATTGGTTGTGTGACCAGGGCAAATTACTTAAGCTCTTTCTGCCATTTCTTCATTTGTAAAATATGGAAAACTGTATCTTCTTTATGAGTAGCACCGTACCCAGGGCACATACTAAAAAAAAAATGCAACTGATGACTCCTAGGCTTTTATAAGTACTTTAAAAAGAGTGACCAGAGGGGCGCCTGGGTGGCACAGTCATTTAAGAATCTGACTCTTGGGGCGCCTGGGTGGCTCAGCTGGTTAAGCGACTGCCTTCGGCTCAGGTCATGATCCTGGAGTCCCGGGATCGAGTCCCACGTCAGGCTCCCTGCTCAGCATGGAGTCTGCCTCTCTCTGACCCTCCCCCCTCTCATGCTCTCTATCTCATTCTCTCTCTCAAATAAATAAATAAAATCTTAAAAAAAAAAATAATAATCTGACTCTTGGTTTCGGCTCAGGTCATGATCCCAGGGTCATGAGACCAAGCCCCACATCGGGCTCTGTGCTGAGCGCAGAGTCTGCTAAAGTTCCTCCCTGCCTCACTCTCTCTCTCAAATAAATAAATCTTTAAAAAAATAGTGACCAGGGTGCCTGGGTGGCTCAGTTGGTTAAGCAACTGCCTTCGGCTCAGGTCATGATCCTGGAGTCCCAGGATCGAGTCCCACATCGGGCTCCCTGCTCAGCGAGGAGCCTGCTTCTCCCTCTGACCCTCCCCCCTCTCATGTACTCTCTCTCATTCTCGCTCTCTCAAATAAATAAATAAATCTTAAAAAAAAAAAAAAAGTGACCAAAAAGTTTCTGATAAGAGGTGGGTTAAGGGAGGAAATAAAAAGTCACCTTCCTCACTGTGAGGTAGGCTTGGGAAGAACATACATTCATGTCAGATCTAGGGTCTGATTCTAGTTCTATGACTTAGTGTTTGACCCTAAACAAGTAACAGAACCCCTAAGCCTCAATTTCCTCATGGCTCTAAGTGGAGTAATATTACCTACTACATAGTATTATTTTGGAATCAAAAATAATGTATGTGGGGGCGCCTGGGTGGCTCAGTTGTTAAACGTCTGCCTTCGGCTCAGGTCCTAGGATCGAGCCTGCATCTGACTCCATGATCCGCGGGGAGCCTGCTTCTCCCTCTCCCACTCCCCCTGCTTATGTTCCCTCTCTCTGTCAAATAAATTAAAAAAAAAAAAAAAAAGTATGTGGGAGAGCTGTAACAATGTTGCTTTATGATCCAACTGAATAGTTTTTGAACTGGAGAAATAGGACCTCTCTATTGTAGCTTATTATTCAAAGTCCAACTTAAAAGAGCCAGCAGAACTTCTCACTAACTTTGCACTATCATTAATTTTAAGACATGGTAGTTTTTTAAAAACTGAAGAATTCAGTCCTGTGCTTTTTCCATAAAGAACTCCTAAAACCCAACAAGCAGCCCAATAGTGCTACCATTTAGCCAATTCACTTCTAGTTACTATGCCTACGCTGGCTGGAGTACAAGGACCTGCACATAGGTAGAATGTAGTTTACCAGAATGAGCTGCAAATACTGATAGTGCGTCTTTGAAAATCTAAAACTAAACAGAACTCTTAGTCTGTCAATTATACAAAGTGATAACTATTAACTAAAATATACCTGTGGTTATTAATACCAACATTAGATGAGCCTTACAGACAGTAGAATCCTCAAATGATAGTACAACTCAAGTCAGACGTGCCAATTATGTAACTGCTAATTAGAGGCTTATACATCTTGATGGAATTGAATCAAAATTAGACCAATAATACTACGCAAAGCATCCACACTTTATAACGTTCTAAGTAACAAAACCTTCAGTTTAGCAGCCAAAGCAAGCATGAAATGAGGGGGAAAGCAGCAAGAGGGCTAATGGTTAAGTTTTTTGTTATCTTTTGGAGGGGGCTAATTTAAAACTAATGTAAATAAGCCTCTAAACACTTCCTGAAGACTAAAAGTAAAAGAGGGTCATCAGAATTCTTTCACTGTGATTAACTGCCTTCATTTAAATGGCATGCCTGCTTAAGTGTACCAATTCACTGGATTCTACTGCTCTAATCCTGCTTCCTAAAGCAGAGAATAGGAACCATGTGAACAGTAAATTAATCCAGAGGCATGCAAGTGAACATCCATTCAGCATTCTCTGCCAGCCTAGCCCACTATTTCCCTACCTACCCCACCAGCCCCCATCCACCTCTATTGGCTAGTATGGTACAAGTTACTGATAGCTAGCCAAGTCTCAGAAATCACAGAGAAGGCCTATTTTGCAGTTAGTAAAAGCGTTAGTTTATAAGCCAGCTGAAGACTTGCTTTTGATTTAACTTGCTCAACTTATCACAATCTTCTTAAACTATCCCCATTTTCATTTAGCCCTTTCCTAATCCAAAGGCAGACGGAAAATCCTGAATGGAAGGCTGACTTTTACCCATGATTAGTGTGAGTCAAATCCAGAAATGTACTCCACCCACTGCAGCTCTTGCATATCCCGGTTACCTTCACCCTCTTTCATCTGTTCTTCTCTCTCTTGTGTTTCTTCATTAGCAGCTATCTTAACTTTGTCTTCAGGGGATTTCTCAGTAGCCCCCCGGGCTACCTTGGTCTCAACCCCATCTCCAGCTGCCTCAGACTCTTCTATGGGCAGCTTAGTCTCCTCCTGGCTAGGAACCAACTCTGCCCTGACTTTCTCCTCTAGTCCTGAGCCATCTTTTGTTTCTGTCAGTCCTTCTGCATTAGTCTGTTGTTCAACAGGAGTCTGACCTCCTGCAGCTGACAGTCCATTGACTGTACCATCCTTAGGGAGAACTGTGGCTTCCTGCCCAGGCTTCTCAGAGACTTCTGACCCAGCTTCTGCAGCTGAGGCCTCTGCAGCCTCTGTTGTCACCTCTGGTGACTCTTCAGCAGGAGGCACTTCTTGCCCTACCAGCTGCTCAAGAACAGCCTTTCCTGGCTCATTTTCAGAGGCAGCTACCTGCTCCTTTGGCTCATGCCCACCCATATCCACTGGCTTGACTGTTGAATCTATAGGCTCTGCTTCTGCCTCCACTGCAGTACTCTGCTTTTCGAGAGTTGTAACAGGCTGCTCTCCTGAAGCTTCTTTTGGCTTCTCCTCTATGCTCACAATTACTTCTCCCTGCTTCTCCTGACCTCCTTTTTCTCTGCATTCTTCTTGGACATCAGTTCCACAAACTGATTTTCCTTCCCCAGCATGTGGTACTTCCTGTTCTGGCTTCCCAGAAGTGACCTTGGCTTCATTCAGTCCTTCTGGTGCTGCTATTTCTTTTGCCTCAGTGGTTTCAGTTAACTGATCTGGAGTGGATTCAACTTTTTCCTGTAGTTCCTCTGCAGGCTCACTTATATCCATGTCTTCTCTTCCACCCTTCTCCATTTCAGTCTCCTGCTCTTTATCAATTTCAGGCTTTACCAGAGACTGGTCTTCTGGTTTTTTTGCTTCTTCTTTTTCTCCCATGGCGTCATAAACCTGTTCTCTCAACTCTTCCCTTGCTTCCTCTACATGGTTAAAGAACATGAAGCATAAACATGTCTTCGAATTTAGTGATCAAGGCATAAATGGAAACTAAAAATACATTCCCTTTAAAACCTCAAACAGCCTGGCTTAAATTTTAGCAGTTGGCCTAAAAATTATCTGTCCCCTTGAGAAAAAGCAAAGGGAAAAGTCCCAGATAGCAGAGCAACTTATTGCAAAGGAAACCCAAGCTCCTTAAGTGAGATACTGTTTTACTTGAGCATTCTGATTATGTTAAGAGATGCCAAGCTTTATGCTCTCCTCTAAACATTATAAACCTCCATCTAATATGTAAAAACTCTAGTAGCTAAACTCCACTTAGAATTTAACATTTAATTTTCTTAGACACAAAAAATGTAAAAAGACTCCAAAAGCACTGCTATTAAAATAACTGAGCTGCACAGACTTAAAATTTGCATTAAAAAGTATTTAAGTTTGTTAGGTATTTAAAATAACAATTTAAATAACCACATTTATTGGGGAAATTAAGTTTTCCTTTTATAAAAGCCTGCTCTCAGTTTCAGTAATTGGCTATCTCCACTGTAGTCTCCACCAGATGCATGTATCACCCCAGACAACTTAGGAGAGACCATCCAGGATAGGGAGAGCCCTAGTCCCATCACTTGTACACAAGAAATATACGTCGCATCTCCTGAATGTCACAGGCAACTCCACATACCATCTATGTTATCATTATTTTCTACCAGAGATTCGTCTTCTGTTTTTTCTCCTTCCTCCTCTTCCACATGCACACCTTCCAGGGCATTTCCCAACACACCATTCTCCATTCTAGGAGAACAAAAGGAGAAAGCACTAAAGGTATGATGGCTAGAACCTAACAGTTTTTCTAAGACCGAAAAGCAATCAAGTGCAGAGATTATAAACTTTAAGTATTCATGGAAGAAAAGCAGTGATCAAAACTAATACAAATTAAGGCAGTAAGAGCACTGAAAGAAAAAAGCATACCCTTCATCCCACCACCTAAAAAGCACTAATGACTCTTGTCAAAAGGGTAAGATCAATATATATTCGCTTTACAATAGGGCGATAATATTTCCCAAGCTTCGCATCCACCCATATTTCTTTAGTTGGCTTTAAAACATTCTGGAAAGACTTTCATGACAAATCAGGATGATCTACAAAATTAGAAAACTTACCAGAACTGAGAGTAAATGAGCAACAAAACATTTGCTAGTTCGTGTACCCTCAAAATATTTTGTTCTCGTTAATAAACTCCAGTGGAAAATACACAACAACTTTCCAATAGTTAAGACTACTGGTTTTGGGGCACCTGAGTGGCTCAATCATTAAACATCTGCCTTCAGCTCAGGTGGTGATCCTAGGGTCCTGGGATCAAGCCCTACATTGGGCTCCCTACTCAGCAGGGAGCCTGCTTCTCCCTCTCCCACTCCCCCTGGCTTGTGTTCCCTCTCTCACAGTGTCTGTCAAAAAACCCAAAATCTTAAAAAAAAAAAAAAAAAAAAGGACCACTGGTTTTATTTACTAGACATTTTCATATGCTACTGTTTACAAACCGTCCTTCATTAAGTCCTTGTTAAGGATGACTGTTTTGTGCCAAGAGTGCTTTTAAAAGTTCTCTCTCTTATATTGGACTTTATGGTCCAAAAATAAATTATGACCATTCACTAACAGAAAAGAACTCTTCTCCTAAAGACCCCAAAAGATGGGGCGCCTGGGTGGCTAAGTCGTTGAGTCTGCCTTCGGCTCAGGTCATGATCCCAGGGTCCTGGGATCGAGCCCCGCATCGGGCTCCCTGCTCAGCGGGAAGCCTGCTTCTCCCTCTCCCACTCCCCCTGCTTGTGTTCCCTCTCTCGCTGTGTCTCTCTCTCTCAAATAAATAAATAAAATCTTAAAAAAAAAAAAAAAGACCCCAAAAGTTAAAAAAGCGTAAGTTTAATCTACATCAAGTGCCTTCCAAAACTTCCATCAATATTTCATGTTCCTTCTAAACCCCCCTTCTTAGTAAAAGCAGACTCACCCAGATCATATGAATCGCAAAGCTAGTAAATAATCTTGGAAAGCAAAGAAACTTATTAAAGTTTTAAATAGACCATTAATGTGATACAAAACACCCTACTTAAAAACAAGTCAGACTGTTGATTTCGGCTCAGGTTATGATCTCAGGGTTGTGAGATGGAGCCCCACATCAGGCTCCAAGCTCAACAGGGAATTTCTGCCGAAGGATTCTCCCCCTCTCCCTCCAGCACCCCCCGCCTCCGCTCGATCTCTCTCAAATAAATAAACCTTTAAAGAAACAAAACAAAAAACAAAACAAAAACCCCTGCAGCTTGAAAGACGTACCTTGCCAACTCCAGAAGTGATTTCCCATAGTAAAAGAAGGCTTCTCCACACTCATTAGCAGTCTCTCCATACTTCTTACCTCTACAAAGAGAATAAACATCTAATAAGACCTGAATTAACATTTAATCAAAAATACTTATTTCTAGTTCTCTGAATTATAAAATGATATTTCTTCAGTGACACATCCTTCTAGGAAACCAATACTCCCCTCTCTTCTTGCTTTCAAGTCAAGTTCAAAGGGACTTTAAAAAACAATGTATGGGGCGCCTGGGTGACTCAGTTAAGGGTCCGACCCTTGATCTCAGCTCAGGTCTTGATCTCAGGGCCGTGAGTTCAAAACCCCACATTGCGGGGTGCCTGGGTGGCTGAGTCGTCTGACTTCGGCTCACGTCATCTCAGGGTCCTGAGATTGAGCCCTATATCAGGTTCTGCGCTCAGCGGGGAATCTGCTTTTCCTCTCCCTCTGCCCCTCCCTCCCGCTCCTGCTCCCTCTCTCTCTCTCAAATAAATAAAATCTTTAAAAACAAACAAGGGGGGGTTCACCTGTGTGGCTCAATCGCTAATGATCCCAGGGTCCTGGGATCGAGCCCCGCATTGGGATCCCTGCTCAGCGGGAAGCCTGCTTCTCCCTCTCCCTCTGCTGCTCCCCCTGCTTGTGTTCCTGCTCTAGCTCTGTCAAATAAATAAAATCTTAAAAAAAAAAAAAAAAACAAGGGGCGCCTGGGTGGCTCCAGTTAAGTGTCTGCCTTCAGCTCAGTCATGATCCCAGGGTCCCAGGATCGAGCCCCACACCGCATCGGGCTCTCTGCTCAGCAGGGAGCCTGCTTCTCCCTCTCCCTCTGCCTGCTGCTCTGCCTACTTGTGTGCCCTGTGAAATAAATAAATAAAATCTCTTAAAAACAAACAAACATAGCCCCATGTTGGGCTCCAAGCTGAGCATGAAGCCTACTTTAAAGAAAAAAAAAAAAGCATGTGGGTGCGTGCACCCGCGCACACACACACAATGTATGAAGTTAATATATTACCTGGTCTTTCTCTCTCTTTCTATATATATATGTTCCAAGAGATAACAATTTGCTGCAGTTATAGTATATAATCTCAGAGCCAAACTACATTAATAGGTATTTCTCCTGCTATAACATGAATGTCAGTACAGGCCAGAACAGTTAAAGGACCTTTGGCAGGGACCTAAAGGATGAATGAGGTATATGGAAAGACATCATGTTATTAGATGTAAGAACTTATTCTCTGGAGTCAGACTGCCTGTGTTTGAATCCCACCTCTAAACCTTAACTAGCTGTATAAACTTTATACTCAGTGCCTTAGGTTTCTCATCTATAAAATAGAAATGTTAAGAACTGTTCAAAGATCTAAGAATTGGGCTTGAGAACCGAGCGGAGCTGGTTGAGCCTTCAAAGTCCTAAAACGCGCGGCCGTGGGTTCGGGGTTTATTGATTGAATTCCGCCGGCACGGGAGCCTCTGCAGAGAGAGAGCGCAAGAGATGGACATGGACAAACGGATTCATTTAGAGCTGCGGAACAGGACGCCCTCTGATGTGAAAGAGCTCGTCCTGGACAACTGCCCATCAATCGAAGGCAAAATCGAAGGCCTCACAGATGAATTTGAGGAACTGGAGTTCTTAAGTACAATCAACATAGGCCTCACCTCAGTCGCAAACTTACCAAAGTTAAACAAACTTAAGAAGCTTGAACTAAGCAATAACAGAATCTCAGGGGGCCTGGAAGTATTGGCAGAAAAGTGTCCAAACCTCACGCATCTAAATTTAAGTGGCAACAAAATTAAAGACCTCAGCACAATAGAGCCACTGAAAAAGTTAGAAAACCTCAAGAGCTTAGACCTTTTCAATTGTGAGGTAACCAACCTGAACGACTACCGAGAAAATGTGTTCAAGCTCCTCCCGCAGCTCACGTATCTCGATGGCTACGACCGGGACGACAAGGAGGCCCCTGACTCGGATGCCAAGGGCTACGTGGAGGGCCTGGATGATGATGAGGAGGATGAGGATGAGGAAGAGTATGACGAAGATGCTCAGGTAGTGGAAGATGAGAAGGATGAAGAGGAAGAGGAGGAAGGAGAAGAGGAGGATGTGAGTGGAGAAGAGGAGGAGGATGAAGAGGGTTATAATGACGGGGAAGTGGACGATGAAGAAGATGGTGGTGAAGAAGAAAGGGGTCAGAAGCGAATACGAGAACCTGAAGATGAGGGAGAAGACAATGACTAAGTGGAATAACCTATTTTGAAAAATTCCTATTGTGATTTGACTGTTTTTACCCATACCCCCCCTGAAATCCCGCCCCCCGAAACTTATTTTTTTCTGATTGTAACGCTGCTGTGGGAACGAGAGGGGAAAAGTGTCCTGGGGCTTGTGGGGGGAGGGAGGGCGGAAGGGAGCGGAATAAAGTACTATTTTTACTGCCAAAAAAAAAAAAAAAAAAAAAAAAAAGATCTAAGAATTGAATAATAATGCCTGTGAAAGTATTTAAAACAATGCTTAGAAATACAAACAGCACTATACCTAAGTTTTAGCTATTAATATCTAGACAGGAAAGAGGGAAAGAGAAACAAATCACAAGTGTGATAAATGGAAAGGAGGAGGTATACTTTACATAGAGTAAGGAGAGTAGTTTTCATGAAGGAAAGGACTGGAAGAAGTCATGCAAAGTCAGGCCAGCTAATGGCCTTTACCGCCTAGTAAGAATAACTAGAGAAACTAAGCACAAAGTATTATGAGGGTCATGTTAAGTATAATCTACTAGATTAGAATAATGCATCTCAAATTTTCCCCCTAAATATCCTTAAATGCAGGACAGTGAAAATACTGATCTCTAGATACCTGGTAAGAAAATAAGCTAAGAAGTATGTTTCTGGTTATTCTTAAAAACTTAGATTTTAGGGGCGCCTGGGTGGCTTAGTTGTTAAGCGTCTGCCTTCGGCTCAGGTCATGATCCCGGGGTCCTGGGATCCAGCCCCACCATCGGGCTCCCTGCTCCGCAGGAAATCTGCTTCTCCCTCTCCCACTCCCCCTGCTTGTGTTCCCTCTCTCGCTGTGTCTCTGTCAAATTAAAAAAAAAAAAAAAAAAAAAGTCCCAGAACAAAGTAGGATGAGTTGGTCACCCTAATTACTGGTGACTGAAAAACAAACTACCTCACTCAGGAAAAGAAAAAAGTGAGAATACGCGGTGATATGCAAGTCTTATCGTTAGTTACAGGAATAAACTTGCACATGAAAAGCATCCAATTTTTTAAAACTCCACCCCCACCCAAAAGACAAACTTTTAACAAACAATATAGCACATCATAGCAAAACACAGTACTTACAAAAGACTAGCTGCTTCCTGGAATGCATTGACAGCTGCTGGAATATCCCCCATCACCAGATGTTTCTGTCCTAAACCCAACAGTTTCTTAGCTTCATTATCCACATCCAGACTGCAAGAAAAGTGGTATTTTTCAAATGTCAAATACTTTTTAAAATCAACGTTTTTTAAATACCTGTTACATTTATAAACCATTGTATTTTAACTTCTTTAAACCTTTGACCACTCCAGCAAGGTTAAGCTAACTCACATTTACCACTATAAAAGCAAAAGAAATCATAAAGCAACATTCAAGAGCTTTACTGGATTTTCTTTAAAAGGTTTATCTACTCACAAAGCCTATATTGTATGTTACTACAAATATTTGCTAATTAAGCAACAAAAAAAAATCATGAAAGAACCATATATTCATACAGCAAGTTATACTACCTCTAAGAAAAATAAATCAAGAAACATATAGGTGGGGGCGCCTGGGTGGCTCAGTCGTTAAGTGTCTGCCTTCAGCTCAGGTCATGATCCCAGGATCCTGGGATCAAGCCCTGCATCGGGCTCCCTGCTCCACAGGAAGCCTGCCTCTCCCTCTCCCCCAACTTGTGTTCCCTCTCTCACCGTGTCTCTCTCTGTCAAATAAATAAAATCTTAAAATACAAAACAAAACAAAAACAAAGAAAAGAAACATTTAGGTAGACAGGGCAAGACAGTGATCTCAATATAATATGTGGAATTGACATAAATAAACGCAAATAGATAAAATGGAACAGAGTACAAAAACAGATCCACACATACAACCACTTGAAATTTTGACAAAGGTACCGAGACAATTCAATGGGGAAAGAATAATCTTTTCAACAAATGGTGCTGGAATAATTGGATATCCACATGCAAAAAAGTAAACCTCAACCTTATTATCACACCACATACAAAAATTAACTTCAAGTGGATTATAGACTTTAATATTTATTTATTTGTCAGAGAGAAAGAGAGAGCACAAGCAGGGAAGCAGTGGGGGCCCAAGGCAGAGAGAGAAGCAGGCTCCCCACTGAGCAGAGAGCCCGATGCTGGGCTCGATCCCAGGACCCTGCGATTGTGACCTAAGCCAAAGACAGGTATCCCTGGATTATAGACTGAAAACCATAAAACTGGGGCACCTAGCTGGCTCAGTCTATAGAGCATGAGACTCTTAATCTCAGGATTGTTGAGTTTAAGACCCACATTGGCTGTAGAGATAACTTTTTTTTTTTTTTGTAGAGCTAACTTTTAAAAAAATATATATAGGGGTGCCTGGGTGGCTCAGTTAAGTGTCCAGCTACTCTTGGTTTCAACTCAGGTCATCATTTCATGGGTTGTGGGATCCAGCCCCAAGACAGGCTCCATGCTCAGTGGGGAGTCGGCTTGAGGATTCTTTCCCTCTGCCCCTCCCCACCACTGGTATGCTCGTACTCTCTCCCCCAAATAAATAAATCTTCGTGTGTGTGTGTGTGTGTGTGTGTGTGTGTGTGTGAGAGAGAGAGAGAGAGTGAATAGCATATATATGTATATATGCATTTACAAAAAATAGTCAATAAAAACCTGCAGATATTCTGCAGAAGAAGGAATAAACAGAATTTAGAATAGTGATTGTCAAGCTAAGTGAACTTAGGAATTATCAGGAAGTTTTTTTAAAAAAACACACAAGCCTGAATTCTACCTCAAGCTTAACAAATAAAATCTCTAGGGATGCAACCCATAAATCTACCTTTTGGATAAGCATCCTAGTTAACTATTATGCGTACCTCAGGTTCAGAACCATAGTCATATCAAGAGGGGAAGTTATGTGGAAGTAGATGTGGGCACAATATAAAATTTAAAACTTTTAAACTAGAATAACATAAAATTGAAAATGGCAACCTTACAAAATAGAGATCTAAATCAGTAGAAGTATTCAAAGAAGGAATAGGTTAGCATTTGCCAGGCATTTAACGAATAAGGAGCAGAACTTTCAATTCTAATATTTTAATCAAATGTGAAAAACCTGGAGACATCATTGTCAGGACTCCATACTTTAAATTACAGACAAGTACCTCAATATTCAGTCTTTTTTTTTCCCCCCAAGATTTTATTTATTTGACAGAGAGAGACACAGCGAGAGGGAACACAAGCAGGGGGAGTGGGAGAGGGAGCAGCAGGCTTCCCATGGAGCAGGGAGCCTGACCCGGGGCTCCTGACCTGAGCCGAAAGCAGACGTTTAACGACTGAGCCACCCAGGCGCCCCCTCAATATTCAGTCTTAACTGTTATCTATCAAAAATAATAGTGCCCTGGGTGCCTGGGTGGCTCAGTTGGTTAAGCGACTGCCTTCGGCTCAGGTCATGATCCTGGAGTCCCGGGATCAAGTCCCGCATCGGGCTTCCTGCTCGGCAGGGAGTCTGCTTCTCCCTCTGACCCTCCTCCCTCTCCTGCTCTCTGTCTCTCATTCTCTCTCTCTCAAATAAATAAATAAAATCTTTATAATAATAATAATGCTGCCCTTTGGGGCGCCTAAGTGGCTCAGTCAGTTAAGTCTGCCTTCGGCTCAAGTCACAATTCCAGGGTTCTGGGATTGAGCCCTACCTCAGGCTCCCTGCTCAGCAGGGAATGTGCTTCTCCCTCCCATCTGCCCGCCACTCCCCTGCTTGTGCTTCCTCTCTCTATCAAATAAATAAAGCAAATCTTTAAATAAATAAATAAATAAATAAAATACTGCCTTTAAATTATATAGTTCTTAGTTTATGTTCCAGATATAAATCTAATTACTCTGTAAATAATCTTACCTCTCCACTTTATCTGCAGAGGTAGAAGGAGCAGGAGCATCTTCTTCAATCCTGTAATGAAAAATTAAGGGAAAAATAATTAAAAGGAAGGCCATTTTAAGCCTGGAAATTAAATAAAGAAAAATATAAAGCCGTAATAGAGCTACCATTTATTAAATGCCCGATAAGATATAAAGATCTTAAAAGTGATATAATATATACTATTGGAGCCTGTATATATATATATATGTGTGTGTATATATATATATACACATATATATGTATATACATATATAATCAAATTTAATCTTTAATCATTCAAGTATCTGTTATAAATGCCTATTTGCTAGGCATGAGATATACTACAGTGAACAAAACAGTCACATCCTAGCTTTGAGTTTATGATCAGTCACACCCTCTCTAAAATAAATCTTTCGTAAAAATTTTTTTAAATTGGTAAACAAAGTGAGAAAAATTTACAATACACTTGTATTTGCAATTTCTTTACAATACAGTTGTACTTTAGATAGGTTTAAAGACATGGTTGATTTAAGTTACTATATGGGAATGCTATAGATTGACCCCGTGCACTTAGTATTCATTTAAATCCTTGGCATTTTGGGGGCTCTCTGCTTGGCAGGGAGTCTGCTTCTCCCTCTGCCTCCTACTTGTGCTCTCTTTCTCTCTCAAATGAATAAATAAAATCTTTTAAAAATATAAATAAATAAAACAGGGCGCGCCTGGATGGTTCAGTCGTTAAGCGTCTGCCTTCAGCTCAGGTCATGATCCCAGGGTCCTGGGATGGAGCCCTACATCGGGCTCCCTGCTCTGCAGGAAGCCTGCTTCTCCCTCTCCCACTCCCCCTGCTTATGTTCCCTCTCTCGCTGTGTCTCTCTGTCAAATAAAGAAATAAAATCTAAAAAAAAAAAAAAAAAAAAATGAATGAATGAATGAATGAATAAATAAATAAAAACAGGGCTCCTGGGTGGCTCAGTTAAGCATCTGCTTTCGGCTTGGATCATGATCTCAGGGTCTGGGGATCGAGCCGCACGTGGGGCTCTCTGCTCAGCAAGAAGTCTGCTTTTCCCTCCGCCTCCCGCTTGTGCTCTCACTCTGAGTAAATAAAACCTTAAAAAAAAAAAATCCTTGTCATTTTTACCTGCCCTTTCATCACTTTTCACATATATCCCAAAGGTAATACCCAGAAAAGGACATATATCATTTGTAAATGTGCCCCCAAAGCACACCAGATCTCAAATGAGATTTGAGAATGCTGTTTGTTAATTGGTGAAATAGAGAGGGGCGCCTGGGTGGCCCAGTTGCTTAAGTGTCAGACTCTTGATTTCAGCTCAGGTCTTGATCTCAGGGTTTTGAGTTCAAGCCCTGCATTGGGCTCCACACTGAGCACAGAGCCTACTTAAAAAACAAACAAAACTGGTAAAATGGAGAAAAGTACAGTGGGGAAAGAGGCAACCTTACTACAGGTACTTTACTACCAAGTACTACTCAGAATTGGAATACATACTGCAAGAAAGAAGTATGAGAACAGAAGCTATAGAAGATAAAAAGGATCTCCTATGTGGACAATTACTGAAAACTCTCCACAAGGTTAAAAACAACACAAATAGAATGGAGTCTATTAGTTTTCTACAACTGGGCTTTCTTCTTGTTTAGCTGTAACAAATTTATGAAGAGAACACATGCAATATGTACAAAAACAAATGATCAATGAAAAAACAGCTTATTCAATTCAATAAATATTAAATCTAATAGACATTTTAATTTTAGTACCTACTGTGTGCACTGGAGACAGACAGTCTCCAACCAAACAGTTAAAAAAGCAGAGGGGACAGGGGGCATCTGTCTGGCTCAGTCGGTAGAGCAAGGGACTCTTGATCTCGGGGGTTGTGAGTTCAAGCCCCACCTTGGGTGTAGAGATCACTAAAAAAAACAAATAAACTTAAAAAAAAAAAAAGCAGAGGGGACAGCTTGTTTAGAAACACAGAGAAAGGCAGAAGCGATTAAATGACACGTGAGGATTAACTATACTGGAGTCTCAGTCCCAGAACATGCTTTAAAGACAAAAGTATATATTTTTTAAAGTTGTCAGTTATGGGGCGCCTGGGTGGCTCAGTCGTTGAGCGTCTGCCTTCAGCTCAGGTCATGATCCCAGAGTTCTGGGATCAAGCCCGGCATCGGGCTCCCTGCTCCATGGGGAGCCTTCTCCCTCTCCCTCTGCTTGTGTTCCCTCTCTCGTTGTGTCTGTCAAATAAATAAATAAAATCTTAAAAAAAAAAAAAAAAAGTTGTCAGTTACTTTCAGCAGAATCCAAAATCTTCGCTTCGAACTCCTAATCCTTTTGTGAATATTATACTGGTCAACAAGTTTGATGAAAAACCCTGAAGAATGGGGAAAAAACTGGGTTGAAAATAAGCAGAGACTCCATAGCTAGAGCCACAGGGATGAAGCACAGTTTAAAAGGCAGTACACTTCAGGGGCGCCTGGGTGGCCCAGTCATTAAGCGTCCATCTGCCTTCAGCTCAGGTCGTGGTCCCAGAGTCCTGGGATCGAGTCCCGCATCGGGCTCCCTGCTCAGCGGGAAGCCTGTTTCTCCCTCCCTCCCTCCCCCACTCCCCCTGCTTGTGTTCTCTCTCGCTGTCTCTGTCAAATAAATAAATAAATAAAAATCCTTAAAAAAATAAATAAATAAATAAAAGGCAGTACTTCTAGCTGCAGGTAAAGCACATAATCTGCCCAGAAACCTGGAATGATGGCCTTTGATCCTTATCTACAAACACTTTCTGTAATAGCCTGTTCGTTCAAATAGCTTCACTAAGGGGTTATTTTGACCAGATTCTAACACAAGCTTCTCAAATTACCTGTGATTAAAGGACCAGATTTTTTATTTCCAGTGTACAACAGATTTTTTTTTTAAACAATCACTCCTTGCTGTTTTTATTTTTTATTTTTAGTAATCCCTACACCCAATATGGGGCTCAAACTCACAACCCCAAGATCAAGAGTCACATACTCCACCAACTGAGCCAGCCAGGTACCCCATCAGATGAATTTTTATTAAATAATGCTTACTCCAAATTTTTATACTTATCTCTTTGTAGACCAGTAACAAACAGTTCACAAACCACTATTAGTCTACGGACCACCAATACGAGTCTACAGACCACACAATGTGGTAGTAACATAAATGTCCAAATAGAATATAAGCACTAAAAATGCTGTATATACACGCTACAAATATTGAGGCACTCCAGTGGCAACAAAAATACACACAATGTTTTATACCCCACACAGATGAGGGGTGAGGTGCAGTACTATGTAACTTTCACTATTAGCCATGAGGGAAGTTAACAGGTACCAGATTCATCCTCCCACCTCAAACAACTAAAAAAAATGGCCAAGAACATAAAACATCAGTTTTCAAACACTGAACAGCTAGTAGCACAGGACATTGATCTAAGAGAAGGGAAACAAATGAGGTAAGTCCCATAACTGTCCCCAACTTACTGCTTAGAGAATTTTGTCCATAGCACAGAGGAACTCAAAAGAAGTCTGTCTCATAAAATTGAGACAAGAGTCTGGGGTTTGGAGATGCCTAGGTGGCTAGAATTTACAGAACAGAATGGAGAAAAGATAGCAAGCTCCAGATATCTGCAGAAGGTTCCCTTCAGTCTTTGACTAACTGCTGATCAGCTTCTACATGAGAAAACTACTGAGGCCTATGTAAGAGTTACTAGAAAAGCAAAGATGAAACAATCTTCAAAGATCACAAAGGGTCTAAAATAACTCACGTTCCCAATAGTCAGGGTAGAAATACCTGTACCACACGGCAAGTACCTTTTAGTAACAGAGTTAAGTTCCAGGCCTGCCTAACAAAACTTAAAGGCAATCCTCAAAAGGACTGAACTATTTCCAAGTAACTGCATCCCAACATCAAAATATATTCAATTTTTGCACTCAGCAATAAACCACACAATGTCTGATAAGTAAAAAAATTATCAGGCAAACAAAGAAGCAGGAAATTAAAATCCATAGTGAAAAAAAGGTCATCAATAGAAACAGACCCAGAAAGGACACAGATGATAAAATTAGACAAGGACATTAAGGCAATTATTTTAAATGTAGTCCACATGTTCAAGAATGTAAAGGAAAGCACGAGCATGAGAAAAATAAAAGGTATTTAAAAAAAAAGTAAAGACTCAAATCACACTTCCGAAGACAAAAATACACTTGATAGGATCAATCAGACTCGGAAAAAAATTACTAGAAAAAGAAATTTTTTTTTTGACAGGGACACAGCAAGAGAGGGAACACAAGCAGGGGGAGTGGGAGAGGGAGAAGCAGGCTTCCCGCGGAGCAGGGAGCCCGATGTGGGGCTAACCTGAGCCTAAGGCAGACGCTTAACGACTGAGCCACCCAGGCGCCCAAAAATTACTAGAAATTTAGTGGCGGTTCCATGGTGTAATGGTTAGCACTCTGGACTCTGAAAATTACTAGAAATTTAAAGACAGCAGTGGAAACTCCAAAATGAAAACACAAAGACTTAAAAAAAAAAAAAATAAATAAATAAATAGAACTTCGGAGTGCCTGGGTGGCTCTGTCAGTAAAGTGACCGACAAATCTCTCTTGATTTCAGCTCAAGTCATGATCCCAGAGTCATAAGACTGAGCCCCATGGTGGGCTCCACACTCATTGTGGAGTCTGCTTGAGGTTCTCCCTCTCCCACTGCCCTTCCCCTCTTCTCTAAAATATTTTTTTTTTTTTTAGATTTTATTTATTTGACAGAGAGAGACACAGCAAGAGAGGGAACACAAGCAGAGGGAGTGGGAGAGGGAGAAGCAGGCTCCCCGCGGAGCAGGGAGCCCGACGCGGGGCTCGATTCCAGGACCCTGGGACCACGACCTGAGCCGAAGGCAGACGCTCAACCGACTGAGCCACCCAGGCAATAAATACTTTTTTTTTTTTTTTTAAAGATTTTATTTATTTTTTTGACAGAGAGAGACATAGCAAGAGCAGGAACACAAGCAGGGGGAGTGGGAGAGGGAGAAGCAGGCTTCCCGCAGAGCAGGGAGCCCGATGTGGGACTCGATCCCAGGACCCTGGGATCATGACCTGAGCTGAAGGCAGACGCTTAACGACTGAGCCACCCAGGCGCCCCTAAATACTTTTTTAAAAATAGAACTGCATGAGTCTGAAACACTAAGCAGACTAACATACATGTGGACTGGGGTCCCTGAAGGGATAGAGGTGGGAAAGGAAATATTTAAAGGGCTGGAGGAAAGTATTTAAAGAAATGATGGCAGGGGCGCCTGGGTGGCTCAGTTGGTTAAGCGACTGCCTTCGGCTCAGGTCATGATCCTGGAGTCTCGGGATCCAGTCCCACATCAGGCTCCCTGCTCGGCGGGGAGTCTGCTTCTCCCTCTGACCCTCCTCCCTCTCATGCTCTCTGTCTCTCATTCTCTCTCTCGCAAATAAATGTCTAAAAAAAACAAACAAAAAAAAACGAACGATAGCAGAAACCTTGCCGATTTTGGTAAGTATAAATCCACAGATCCAAAAATCAACAAACCCAAAGCAAAAGAATCATGAAGAAAAATACACCAAAGTATTTGTCAATTTGCTGAAAACCAGTGATAGATAAAAAACCACAGGGGCACCTGGCTAGCTCAGTCAGTAGAACATCTAACTTGATCTCAGGGTGGTGAGTTCAAGCCCCATGTTGGGCATGAAGCCTACTTAAAAAAAAAAAAAAAAGATATAAAATCGGCAAAGGAAAAAGATACTTATATAATCATAGTAACAAATATAAGAATGATAGCCAACTTCTTGTTATAAACAATGCAAGCCAGAAGATAATTTCTTTCAGTATTTTAAAAATACTGCTGTACTATCAACCTATTCTATAGCTAATGAAGTTAATCTTTCAAATATAAGAAATAAATCTTCTTCTTTCCTATAAAAGAGAGGATTCACCACCAATAGGCAATTATGAGAAAAAAAGGAAATCTAGACAGAGAGACGCCTAGGTGGCTCAGTCGGTTAAATGTCTGCCTTAGGCTCAGGTCATGACCCCAGGGACCTGGGATGGAGTCCTATATCAGACTCCCTGCTGCTTGGCTGACAAATTCTTGAAAAAAAAAAAAAAGGAAATCTAGGCACAAAGAAAGTAATACCAGGTAGAATTTGGATCTACATAAAAAGCACTGACAATGGTAAATGAGGGCAAATGTAAAACATTCTTTTATTTTTTTAATCTGGTTTTTTGAACTTTAATGAACATTTGGTTCATTTCTAGTTTTTGGCAATTATGACAGCTGATGTGAACATTGCTGTGTACATATTCTGGTGGACAGCTGCACATTTCTTTTTAGTACAAACTGAAAAGTGAATCAAGTTATAGGTGTTTTAGGGGTGCCTGGGTGGCTCAGTCGTTAAGCGTCTGCCTTTGGCTCAGGTCGTGATCCCAGGGTCCTGGGGAGGCTCAGCAGGGAGTCTGCTTCTCCCTCCCCCACGCCCCCTGCTTGTGTTCCCTCTCTTGCTGTCTCTCTCAATGTCAAATAAATAAAATCTTAAAAAAAAAAAAGTTATAGGTGTTTTAAAGATTTTAGAAGCAAAAACAAGCATTCCCAAAGTTATTAACATAAATATTTTAGGAATAAAATCACATATGGAAACATTTCTAAATAACTGGTTTTTAAAAAGCTTTATCCAGGGCGCCTGGGTGGCTCAGTTGGTTAAGCAACTGCCTTCGGCTCAGGTCATGATCCTGGAGTCCCTGGATCGAGTTCCGCATCGGGCTCCCTGCTCGGCAGGGAGTCTGCTTCTCCCTCTGACCCTCCCCCTTCTCATGTGCGCTCTCTCAAATAAATAAATAAAATCTTTTAAAAAATAAAAAATAAAAAGCTTTATCCATTGGGGCGCCTGCGTGGCTCAGTTGGTTAAGCGGCTGCCTTCGGCTCAGGTCATGATCCTGGAGTCCCAGGATCGAGTCCTGCATCGGGCTCCCTGCTCAGCAGGGAGTCTGCTTCTCCCTCTGACCCTCCCCCACCTCATGTGCTCTCTCTCCCTCATTCTCGCTCTCAAATAAATAAAATCTTTAAAAAACAAAAAAAGCTTTCGGGGCGCCTGGGTGGCTCAGTCGTTAAGCGTCTGCCTTCAGCTCAGGTCATGATTCCAGGGTCCTGGGATCGAGCCCCACATCAGGCTCCCTGCTCTGCGGGAAGCCTGCTTCTCTCTCTCCCGCTCCCCCTGCTTGTGTTCCCTCTCTCGCTGTCTCTGTCTGTCAA